ATTTTTTCTCCTTAATAATAGATTAAACTAGCAAGAATTTTCAACACGGACGGATTGGCACACGGACAAATCTAAACAGGTGCAATACGCATCTAGTCTTCGGGGGAAAAGTTATGCAGCGTGTTGTGTCATTTCAAATTTATATCACAGTTATACGCTAAGCATACGCGGGGAGTTGAACAATCGAGCTCATTGTATATGCATCAAATTCACAGAACAAAACTAATCTAAAGCTGGAGCCAATAAAAATGTCCCATCTCCCGCTGCTGCGTTAAAAATAAATGAACAAGGTAATCTCCACCATCCTTATTATAAATTTAACTTAAATATTTTACATTTTTCAACACTTAACTTTCCATCTCGCCATCCCGAGAGACGAACGACCCCCTATTTACATAGGATAGGAACGCATAAGACATCAAAATAGTATAGGGCGCAGTTACATTTGTCGATATCTCGGTCGTTGTACAGCATGCGGGGAGTCTTTGCATATGCTTAACGATTAATGCAAATGTTCTGTTGTAAAACAAGCTGCCTGGAGATACAGTTGACGAGTTTAATGGGCGGTAAGGATAAGTGAGGAATATAAACAACCGCATGCGGGCGCTATGGCATGCGTGAATAGGAAATCTTTCGCACCACGCAAACGGCGCTGACCACTAATGAAATGTGCTCCTTTTTTCTTATCTAAGATAAGTTTCATTTGTTTATGCGAACTGGGTTTTGTCTTAATCTAATTTAGTACCCAATTGAAAACGTTGACGAAACAAGCGAACGAAATACAATAAATTTCTCTAATAATAAACGTTGATTTATCAAAATTAAATCTCTTTGTAAGCGGTGTAATCAAATTTATCAGTCATACGAATCTTCAATTCATTGCAAAGGGTCTTAAAACGCCAGTCTGTTTGTTGTATTAATAAATGTAATTGAGATTTTTAATTCAATTTCACAGACTTACCTTTTATATTGATGTTTATTTTTTTTGCCAAAAGTGAGATGGAAGAAAGTGTCGTTTTGAAGCGTTTACCTGCTCCTTTCTTATTCAAAGACGTGTACCAGGCGCTCAGGATCCCCAACAAAACGCGGAAAACGGACAAATATGTTCCGACATCCCCTGTCTTGGGATAACAGAGGCATTGTTTGTTCTTCCTATTTTTCCTGAGCCCCATAAAACGTTTGCATTTTACATTTTTGGCGGCCATAAATAAAATCGGTCGTGTAAAATTGCATTTTAAGCGTTTCCAAATGTATACCTACAGTTACCTATGAAAGGGACGGCTCCTGGGCTTTTATTGTGGAAGGAAATTAAAGTTCTCGAATAACGTTTGGGTCTGGACGAGATTATATTGCGGGAATACGGAAAGTTTGAAATTTATGGCGCTTCGTAATACGTTTTTATACGTAAATACTACAGAAACCGCGAGCGCTGTATGTTTTCGGGTGGTATTAAATTTAGTCGAGTTATAATTCGGCTATCCACGAATGCAGTGATAATAAATTACGTAAATTAATTAGTATGTCGAGTGTCCGGTGTGGGCCGCGGGGCGCTGGGCGCGCCGGAGACATGACCGAACTTGTAGCTGGGGTTCAAGTGAAATTAAATTACGAGATGACAAAATGAGTTACGCCCTTTCCTGTAGATTAACAAACAAAAACTGATGGCTGGAGGGTCACGCTTGTTAATGCTGTTAGCAGCAAATGACTCTATTCTTCGCGGACGCGTCACCCGCGCGTACACAATGCTACAATTTTAGCTACGCTATTGTTCTTGTTCGTTCGGATCGCGATTTAGTTTCGCGCTTTTATCGGCGTCCATTTGAGTGGGAGTGGATGCGGGCCTCTATATTGTTACCAACGTTATCACTTCATAGATTTTGATTTTAAAGTTTAAATATTTGTGTGCACCAGTCGGGCGTTGTTAGAGAACTATCATATATATTCATGTTAAGATATTGCCATAGTCAATACGAACTTTATACAAAGCTTGTATAAGACCTACACATCCTGAAATAAAATTTTTGTTTTGACTGGGATATCCGTCTCTTTTGCAACTTTAACGTCAAAATATCATTTACGGTTTGCAAATAAATAACACGAAAGCATCGAAGTATTAACACGAATGTGCAATTTAAAACATTTCTGGTGCAATGAAAATAAAATGTTCACGCATTTCGTGACCTCAGTCTGACCGCAACGTAGCGTTCGGTTCGTACGCATTATCCACGGTGCGCGTTCGTGATCCAATTAATATTAAAAATCAGCCCAGCAGTCTGGAGTACGAAGGGTTTTATTGTTATGTAAATTTGTGCAAACTTCGTTGGCAGACGTGGGCATGACTAATTGTTAATTCGGGTAATGCGCTTACGCGAGTGGGACACCGCAGCCCATCCCGCGCCGATCTATGTAATAAAGGATTACCCGGCTGACCTCTCGCTGCACTCCCGCTTCCCGTTTACTTTCTAGTGATGGGAACTAAGCACACATGACGTAATCCCTTTAACCTTTTTGCCTGCCTTTTTAATGTTTAATCCTAATAAGATTTGTCTGTACGGTTTTATTTCCCTTTTTGTTCAAAATTATTGACAAAAAATCGTTAAAAGAATAACTAGATTTTGACCGTGACTCCGTCCAAGTGGAATTAAATATAGAAAACTTAGTAGCCTATGTGTTATTCCAGACTGTCTTTTACCCCTGTGTCAATTGTTAATGGATATTATTTCAGCAGTTTAGGCTAGAAGCTCAAACAAACATCCATCCATCCAAACGTTTACATTTATAATATAGATTGTCTCGTATTACCTACACTTTATGTTCAAATGATACCATCGACATTTTAGTTTTTACATGCAAGTGATAAAACTTTAATGCATCACTATCAAGTTTACTACTTAGTTACCCTATCGGCGAGGTTTTGGCGTGTGGGTAATTATTTAATGGAGACGAAGTCCGCTGGCGGAGTCGTGCGCCGCCGTGAAATGAGACATTACACGGCCCACCACCGCATTCTGTACACCCGCCATTTGATGCGGTGCTCCCAATTCTTCCCCTTTATTAATAAATATATCAAGGAAAAATATTATTTTAGAACGCACAAATATTAACAAATGTAGTAGACAAAAATGTAACAGTAGACGATCGATTAGCAGTTACATATTTCAAAATTTAACAATTGAAAACAATAAAAAACAAAAGACGTGCATGACTATCATTATAAATTATGATTGCAAAATTAGGGATGGATGGATGTTTGTGATTACTTATCTCTAAGATAACTTAACGGATCTCGATAAAAGGCACAGATGTATAATATAGTCTGGAAGAACATTTAGGTTACTTTCAAGGTTTTTTTAAATTCCGTGATGATGTCACGGGAAAAACTAGTACCGTTTTGTACATCACGAGTGAATTTAGTTACTTTATGATTATAGTATATTGTGTTTGTATATATTTTACATGTATAAGTTTCCAAACTGCATCTATTTGGGATGCTGCGAGCGTATAATCCATGTAGTTACATATATTAATGTTGCATCCTCGCAGATGAGCATTGTTAAGCATAACACGTAGTTAGTTGCAGTTTAGCGCGACGCATTTGACAAATCTGTAAAGTTTTCGACTAATCTCAGCCGAGAGACGAACAACTTGTAACTCTTCATGCGCTAGTTTCTAATAGTAATTGCATTTATTATGTATCGAATAGTGGAAATCAAAAATGGAAAAACTATTAATCCTGTTATGGATTTCGACTGAACTTTACCCAGTTAAGTCTTAACTTTCTTTGCTTAAAACATCCAGGATTTAAACTAAAATGCAAGTAGTAGAACATATTTAAAAGTTGCTAATTTTCTACATGGTTTAGTAACTCTAGTGATGATTTCAATTCAAATCAAATTTCATATTCAAAGAGCAATTTTAGATACTTTTAAACAATTGATATAATTGTAGCTAGCGATATTAATTTTAACACTCCACTAGAGACTCGCCAGGAATGCGCGCCAATATCCCAATTCTTCTTATGACATTGACAGCTGTCAGCTAGGGACGTGACGTTTATGCCGATAATCTGGTAATGCGCCAATTCTACAGCACGATACTAATTTTCTTCTTAACAATACTTATAACACTTTAGTTTCAAAATATTTAACGTCAATATGAGTAACTTTGGTACTTCGTTCTTTTCGCTATATTATGTATAAAATACACAGCCCACAATTTAATCATAAAAGCAATTTATGTACCAACGAGTATGATATTAGCAATTCATACGAAACACCAAACAATAGTAATCAGACGTTTGCTGCGAAGGAAAAATCACAATTTGCCGACAGGCGAGGCGGTGCCAAGCACAGATTTCGTCGGCAATGTATCGTGAAATTAGTTTAGTGGCACTATATAATTACGCGCCCTCACTTTTTATGTCCCTTGGCCGGTCTCCCCTTGACGGGGCAACACACCCCAGCTCTGTTATGACGAAAATGTCAACCCGGTATGCGACTTGATAGATTGAAACTATTTTAAACATCTCTTTTAGGTGCTTTATGTGTCATTTTTTATTATAATGTTGTTATGAAACTCGTGAGAAGTATATTTTTCTAGAGTTATTTATAAATGTTCTTGAATGTATTCATGAAAAAACCAATCATTGTTTATGTTGTTAGCAACATTATATGTTGTTAGCACATTTTTGTTGTTTTTTGTGGTAACTTTAGAATGTGTTTATGAATCTATTTTCAATTGATCTCAAGACCAAATAACATTACGTGTAATAACAGTTGTTGCTTGAATAAAATGCATTATGATATTGTGATTGGACTTTCATTTTCCTTTTTATTGGATACCTTATCCAGCTTTCTACAATGTATCTTGTAATGTAGTAACTTCAATTTTGTATTTTTGCAAGTGTCATGGTTACCTAAAGTTAACAGAGCGTCTTTAGTGGGTTCAAAATCAGTAAGTCGTTTTGTAATAAAGGTTAATAAAATAAGAACTTCAGCATATGCAAGATACATTTCATAGATTTATTATATAAAACCTTAACGCTACGTTTGAATTAACTTACATAGTATAGTAACATGTGGAATTTACAGAGCTATTCGATTAGTACAGACGATAAGTAAATTAGCTATAATTATTGCGCAAGATTATCCCTGAAGAGGGGAAATCGTTTTATAACTACAATACTTAAGTACCGAATCTTAGGTTACATAATAAACGACAAAGCTCAGATATTTCTTACCAATTTTTTTTAATATCTATTTCGATTTTCATGTATGTACATCATGATATGAAATCTGATCTTTTTAAATATAAAATTGTTAAGCAAATTTAAAAAACTCTGAAGCACCTATATTAAATATATTTGAGGACTTTTGCCATGAACGGGTTTTCTTAGTTTCATTGTTTTTTGATAAATAATTTACGAGGTCTGAGTAAATACAATGATTGCATTTTGTATATTGAATTCTAATTTGTGACGGATTTCTCAACGAACGCATATCTATTATTGAAATATAAATTAAATATAACAATAACTAATTTAGTAACACTATAACTATACAAACTAAACGTTGTATAAATAAACAGTCACTCAAAAAGCTACGAAAACAAATCGATTAAAATTCACTATTTTCTTAATAAACCTCTAGAAAAAATATTCGTATAATAATTTATCGAAAATGCAATTCGTTTATGAATTATAGATATAAAAAAACGTGTAGAATAGTAATATAAATACAAGCTCTTAAATAGTACAATAACTTATGATATGGAGTCGAGCAAAATTTCGAATAAGTACTAAGTGAGGATGACAGGATATTGGTACTTAACACCTAGGACATTAAGATCAAATCTTTGTACAAAAATATGCGGAAATATTTACTAGAAACACTGTCTACACTAATAACATTTTATTATTACGATTAACAGAGTATCAATGTTTGTGAGGACAGATTACATCTAAAAGTTACACCAAATTTATACTTTTTTTTATTGCAAGGAAATGTTAAAAACATCTACTACTGTCCTTACACACATTTTACTCAGGGAGCAAGCTTTGCTGAGAGTAAATAATTATTGCTGCTAAGACGATTATACAAGCTATAGTGATTTAGTAATTATACAATAAATAGGTTTTCATAATTTCCAGTATTAAAATCAATATATTTGAAAAATTTGGCGCTATTAGGATAAAGGATATGTTAGTTGCCTCTGATGGACTTAGGTACTGGATTCTCTCTGAGATCATTGTATATAATTGTTTAAAATATTACATAACTAACATATAGACAAACTTACTAAGTAATAACTTTGCCGATATAAATTTAGTTGTGGAAGTCTTTGTAATTTATTTCAGTAGTATTTTTGAGAGTTCTGAAGAAACAGTTGAAGTTTACAAATTTTTGTATATCATTATCATTAAAAAATTTCATTAATCTAAATAGATTCATGTTATTTAATGATATTGGCTTTGTGTGATGTAACTGAGTTAAATGTTTAGTTGATCACTTAGTAAACTTTGTTCATATATCAATAAGTGAATGTAAATAATTAAAATAGTTAAAAAAGTATCTTTTTACATCTTAATCAGCTAAATGAAGCTATATTCGAAGCAATTATGAGTCGTTAGAAATGTAAACTGCATAGTTTGTGTAACTTAATAAAACTACAAGGAAAGTCACAGTGCAGGAAAGTGTGAGGAAATTTATAAATCAATGTATACTTGATTTGAATCACAGAGAATGAGATGGTTTTGAAAGTAAGTGGCGCGATCGCAACTGTATTTTTAACAATAATTTAGAGTTAATTTTTTTTCACATCGACTTAAAAATAACATTTCTAACCAAATTTGTTTATATCACAGGCTTAAATTATATTCATTACAATAAAGGACGTGCATCCTATACGTACTTATTTTAATAGGTAGATCGAAATTAGGGTAACTATTTACACATATAGGGGAAAATAATGAGGCATACCCTCCCACAACCCTCGGAGATTCAGAATGGCGGCCGCGGAATGACGTCACAACGGCCACGCGACGCAACGTATCTTATTCTCATTAGTACACAGGTACTGAGCTTTTTTCACTAACGATCTGATATCAAATTTATAATATCCCTAACCACAAAAGGACCGTCACATACTCCTCTACTATATTGCAATCATACACGAATAAATATTAAAATTAGAAATTACCTTTCTAAGTGAGAAACCACTAGATATTTCTTCAAACAGAAATCTAGATTACAATTATTCATCATACAAAATTTTTGTTTGTAAAAATTAAAAACATGTCTTGTCTTGTTGTAAATGAAGCAATCAGAATGCATAAACACTTATTTCAGTAATTTACCAGTTATCTAAAAAATCTCTACCTTATTCGAACAACGAAGCTTAAACTGACCACTATATTCCGTGTCCAAAAGCAACGCACGTGATACAATTTCAATTGTCCATTTTTTCATCAAATCACCTTCTCATGAAGTCGATGCACATTTGGTTTAGTCACTGAATTTAAAATCTATGGAGAGCTCAGTACTATTGAGCTCGTGTAAAATCTATGGATTCGTTAAATCACTTTATCTTGGAGCGTATTGTTGACGGATGTTCACGAGAATATATTGAAGTATTTGAGGCCGGCCGACAGATAGGGGACTGGGATCGCTCCTGCATAGTAATTAACCGACTGGAACATGAGATAGGCGATGTTTAGGAGCTATCACACTATCTCGTTTGGATGCGTGTTCTGATTCGAGTCATTTTGACGTGCACATTGCTGAAATAAAAAAAAAATCATTATTACCAGTGTTAATAAACTAAAAATGACCTTATTACTCATTGAAATAATATTTACCTCCTGTTTTCTTTCCCACGTCTTCATAGCGGTTTTGTATTTCTCAAATTCATGACACCAATTGGAATAAATCTTTTGATATTCATTGCTCTTTTCCGGAGGAGAACATCTGAAAAGAAATTCGTATATTTTAAACGATATCAGAACAAAAAAGCAATGGAATGAACAAATAAATACGTTTAATCTGCTAGAAGTTGTAAGAACATAAATACCAATGGAGTAGATTCACTATGTTTTGTTTTCATCTTGAACTTAATTGTACTTACCGATGAGTGTCAACTGTGATATTGTAGGAACAGAGTAGGGATCCCCCGAGCCAACAGTCGTATCTGCCAGCGTCTCCCTCGTGCACAGATATGATGAGCAAGCCGTGCTCTGAAGTCTCTATGTATTTCTCTGGTTTGCTGTAATAAATAAAAGAACATTACATTTTGTTCATAAATATTGATTTGTTTTGATATCAGTTGGACATCAGTTAGTTTTCAAAACCTCATAAAACTGTACATATTCCGTTTGAAGAATAATAAATGCAAACTAAAATGACTGCTGTAATAAAAAACCACTTTCATGTGTTTTCAAAAGAAGTACTAACAGTTTTAACTAATTTCACCCTCTTTAAACAGTAAAACAGAGGACAGGCGTATGAAACTCGACAAACAAAGGCTTGATTCCGCGTTGCCCCTTGCATTTTAATTATACAAGAGGAAGTGCGATAACAGTAGATTCGAAACACACTAATTAACTTCGTTGCACGCGTGTTCTTTTGCCTTAAACGTTTTCCGAAATTTCCTTTTTGAGGCGCATTCGTTTTCTATTCGGTGTTTCGTTTCGCCGCCGGTAATAATATGGGCTCGTTCAATGTTTTGGTGGAAATTTAACGCTTTAAAAAGTTTCCATCGTATAGGTGAGGGTGGAACTTCGAGCTTCATTATGGCCGGGTGGTTTTATGACATACGTGTAGAAATTATTTGGGCGTAATGTAGATTCGAAAGTACACACGAAATTTTTCGTGTTGATATTTAAATCGCTTTTAGTAAACGCGTCAAGTCTGAAGTTTTTTTTTTAAGCTTTTCATTATTCCACGCGAAGGATTAGTTTTACGAAAACATATAAAAGAACAAGTTTCGACACTCTTTTTTGTAGTTAAGTAGTAGTTAGTAAGCATACGCTGGTTGCAAAACGAAAGCTTAGCTGTTTTGATTTTGTTTTTGCAAAGCTGAGTCATTTTTATTTGTTGTTAAGATAGAACTGGGCATATTGAAGATTGTCAACAAGTAAAAGTTTAACAGACTGAACGAAACATGCACGCATCTGCAATTGCGGATGTTTATGGGTAGCGGTCGCATTCCATTTCGGTGGATTCGGCCGGTTGCTTGTTTGCCATCCAATATTATAAAAAAAAAATGCATTTGATCAAATTGGCAAATTAAGAACTGGCATTAGTTACCGCACGTTAAAGAACTGTGAGATACAATTTCACGAATATGAAAAGACATAAGTGACAATCGGAGTTACTCACTTAAATGTGATTGGATGTCGTCCCTTCTCCTTGGAGTAATGATACCAGGTGATGGCGCGCGGCTGCAGCACCTCCGGCATCTTGACGAAACTGCCGAGGTGCAGGCTCTGTCCCCACGTCGCCGACACGCTCTTGCGGGATATCGAGGAGTCACAAATGTCTGCCGTTTCATTTGCAACGTCTTGTATCAATCTAGGTATAGAATTACATAATCAGTTATGGAATAAAGATAGGATAGGATTGTCAAATGAGGACAGCGTTGTCAGCGGTTCTGAAATCTTAGAGCTTGCAAACCCTTTGACTAAACTATCGGACAACTATTGTACGATTGTCTATTGTTTCACGGTCAATTCACCTGTTTAGTTGCACAACGAAAAATCGAGTAGTGTGGTCACCTCTTTATACGCTCATAGTAATCTAAGTGCGACTAAATAGTTATGCGATAGTTTAAAAGGTGTTCGCGCGCTCTTATACGTCGCCTGTTCGTACATTTTCAATCAAAGACTTCAGTCGGCGTACAAGATTTTTCAATGACATGGATATAATGAATACACTTACCCGGGCACATATTCACGGCAGACGGCTGCATCTCTGTCCCAGCCGCAGTATGGGTCGCGGGCGCAGCGCACGCACGCGTCGTAGCGGCGCGCGCATAGAGCCAAGCGGAGTTGCAGCACGCGCCGGTCGGACGCCGCATACAGTGAACCGTGCGTGCGAGATAATGCCATCGCCTGTACAGTTAATCAGTTTAAATTATATCCGAATCGATTGTTAAGAGGCTCTTTACACTAAGTAATCAGCTGCGTGCCTTAGAAAAATCGCCATTGCCATTTCCAAGAGACACGCGAACCCGAAAGATGATTTAAAAAAGATTAACTCTGAACGATATCTAGGCAACTTTATTTTCCATAAATTCAGAGTTATAGAATTTTTGTAAATGGGAGTGTGCAAATTACATTTTAACAATAGTTTTTTCGTATTTGATTACTTTTGTGGTATACCATATGTGTAACAAAATATCATAGCATACATATATGTAACAAAATATCATAGCATGGTATCTAATAAATGTTAAATAAGTTAGTACCAGTAATGTTAAGTTACGGAAATTGTACAAGTAGTTAAAAGCGTCTCAAGTTAAAGCCGTTCAAAAGCTTTTAAGTGGCTCTTTCGTGTGCCTAGTTATTAACTTATAATGTAATAATTATGTAGAGCTATTAATACAGTGAATCAATATTTCGAGTATCTACATACATTTGTGTCTCCGGACGATATTTGATGTTTGAATATTGTTTATTTCCTATATGTTTGTATGCTATATTAAGAATAATATGTGGTAATCAGAGAATAGAGATTTGACTCTATAGACATCTTTCTCTATTATATCTATAATGTATATATATATCAGTATCTATTATAAATTTTATAATTATAAAGAGGAAAGATCTGTATTTTTGTATGTTTTGAAATAACTTAAAAACTACCTGGCTGATTTTAAAAATTCTTTCACCGTTGGAGAGGTAATTTATCTGTTAGTAACATAGGTTACATTTTGAATTTTGACGCAGGCGAAGTCGCGAGCAACAGCTAATCATAAATACGTTTGTACGGAATTATGTATTACCTTTGAAAAAACAGAGTTAACAATATGTTTATACAAGTATTTCAGCAATGGATACCTAAGGTGAGAATTTTCAATCAACAACAATATTGTTAGACATACCTGGATAGGTTCCCCGGGCGTGACGTCAAAGATGTCCAATAAAGCGGACTGATTGTCTCCATTGCGAGTCCATTGTACGATCTTATGTATCTTGCCTTCGTCTAAAACAAGTAATAAATAATTAATATTACAAAAGAAAAACGGCTGTAGTAATTCTCCTTACATTTATAATGCATTCTTTACATTGTTCTAAGAAGAAATGCTTTAAGACGATTTATAAAGTCAATAAACTCTATTATGTAATACGATATGGAATACATACTTATCATTTGTTATTTCGTTTTGATATTATTTAGATATAAAAATTGAAGTTTACGAATTACGAAGAAACGATTTTTTTCTTTGATACTAGAGAAAGTGGGTATTTGTTAAAATATATTTTGCATGGCCATTAACAGTGGTATACAGAGAGAATTGCCTAACAATACATAGGTACGGGTATTCCCTTGATAAATGTGACCCCAAAGGGCACCGTCTCACCGCAAAAAGAAATTAAAATGGTTCGTTACGTTCGGGGATCAATTAGTGAGATCTGTGAGGTCCGGCCGTGTTTATTGCGCTTTATTTGTTTGCCATTTCTTATTATATATGTACATTACATAGTAACACATCGTGATATATTTAAGAAGTTAATATTAATTGAGCCTAATAAAACTAATAAAACAGGTAACCTCGTAATCGTCGTCTATACTATTATTAAAAAGAAGAAAGATTTGTATTTTGGTTTATATTGAAATAACTCAAAAACTACCAGCCCCATTTTAAAAATTCTTTCACCGTTAGAGAGAAAATTTATCTGTGAGTAACATAGGCTATATATTTTTAATTTCAGGCAGACGAAGTCACGAGCTGCAGCTAGTCTTTAATTAATTTTAACAGTGGTAGTGCCCGCTTTAACATCTTAGCACGAATGGGCCGGCACGCCCGGTGTAATACCACGACCACACAGGAGACAGGCGTAAAATGGAACCAATGCCGTGTTTCGTCTGATGAGTGTGGCGCCGGAGGCCTAATTTAAGTCCCTTTCTCTTAACTACCCTTTTCTTATGAGAGGATGGGAAGGGGAAGTGGATTTGACGATGGAGGAGATGCATAGGAAGAGGAAATATCCTCTTTATGTGCGTCTCCGCCTCCGTCGGATAAGGGTAGGCGACGTATCTGCAATTGCAGATGTCTATGGGCAGCGGTCGCTTCGCCATTTTGGCGGATTCAGGTGGCCGCTTGCTCGTTTGCCATCTTATGTTATAAAAAAAAAATTGGCGAAGTTAAATCCTTATTGATGCACATAAAGGCTTCTAGTGTCAAACATTGTAGTATTTTATTCATAAAATTAAAGGTAAATATTGAAATATATTATAATTAATAATCAAGACGATTACAGAAGAAGTAATACTATGCTTTTAGCGTATTATCTTCACTGAATAAATAATAAAGATCTTTATAAATTCGTGTCCCGTTTCCATCACTCGAAAACGTCGCAATTAGTTAAAACGACGTAATAATTCAAGAAATCAAAACGTTGTACATTTATAAATAGCTTGTCTAACAAAGTGATAAATTGTAAGGGCGCATCAAAGAGACAGCGTCAATTAATTTGAATCCTCATCGGCGGGAAGTCACCGCGCAGATTGAGATATTGATCGCGACGATAACTTTTCCCCTGTATACCTCAAACTATGAATGTTGATCTTATTTGTCTTGTACTTCAGCGTTTACATGTGAAGGACAATAAACACCACTCATGGTGATAGCGTTTTATTTAGACCTAAAAGACTTGAAGGTTCCAAGTGTTAGCTCCGTCGGACAGTATAATAACTATTCAAATAAATGCAGTAGAACCGTGGTAACTCAAACCTCAGTAACATAAAAACCTCTATGACTTCAAAAAATAATATGTTACCTTCCCATCAGAGCCCAAAACTTCTATAACATAGACCTTTGATAACAAAAAACCTCTATAACTAAATATATTTTGTGTTTCCCCTGGACTTTTAACTTATCTACTGTATAACAGAAATTTGTAGATCTGTATATCTATAGGTACTTCTTATCAGTTACATGGCCATTCTAATATTTGTTTAAGAAAATATCATACTAACACTCTTTATATTTAAGTTTCTCTTTTTATTTATGTTAAATGTTGAATAAACAAATGGTAAGTTAGGAAAAAAATCCAATTTATTTCCAGGATTGCTTTGCAATCTAAACAGGTCCTCGAATACTAAAATAAACTTCGCCAACTCATAAAGAAGGCGACCTGTGTTTTCGGAAACTTTTACCGGAAATAAAAAAAAGACTTTCCGCCGAATCTTCACGAACAGAAACCGTATTGGTCACGTAGGTACACCATTTAGAGCGGGAAAGCTTCTATTGTGTGACAGGGCAGTCCGACCCTCTGCAGTTTACTTACAAAGGCCAATCCACGATTAAATTAATATTCAGAACACGAATCTTAATAGCTAATTGGATTAGAGGCATGTAGCGAAATTACCTAACCGGGTTACGTACAATAATATAAACGTACGTGTGACCGTAGTCGCGTTTTGATCGGCCGCAACTGTCAGCTGAGCCCTACAGTCCCTCCTTCGTACATATCCCACGGCTCCTACGCAAACTAACATAAGTCTAAAATGTGATTTTTCAGAAGAGTATTTGGTGTGGTTCCAATGTTTTTTTATATTGCATTGAAAATATTACGATTGCATCAAGACATTTAAATTATGATTTTAAAAAACAGTTTTGCTTAAAAAAAAAGAGTTACGACATATGCTTAGAAAATGTCGGTATTATGGAGTAGTTATTTACTTTATAACTACGTGAACAGCATCGAGTATTTACAAAAGGTAAGTGCTATTAATTCAAGTATGTAGATATATAGCATGAGTTTATGTAGTGAATGTAGGCACAGAAAGGCGAGTGACGTCACAGCCTATTAGTTTTACCGATCACGGCAAAGGTTCAGATTGACGCAAACAAGCGCAAGTAATTATGTTCGCTGAATATCGTATGAAGTAACACACTCCGCCCATTAACTACGCCTCTATACTTACATGTTATTGCCTCTGAGACCTTTGACATGGAATGATGGAATTGCTTTTGCTCGAATTGTTCACTCGTCTTCGTTCAATGGCTTTATTCGATTACTGTAGTGATTTAAATTGATTTATTACTTCAAATACTTCATTATACTATTGAATACTATCACTATTATTATGGATTCGATTTGAAACAGAAAAAAAGAGCTTCTTTCAATTATTTCCTATTAATGTCATCTTTAGATAAAAGGGTAACCCTTTAATTTAGCAAAATTGCAAAACCATTTTCTGGTATTCAAAAAACAAAATCGAAATTGCAATTTTCTTGTCAAACGTATCAAAAATCACACACTTTTGAATACACACCTGATACGATAATGTGTACAAGAGAAAGCATTTAGACTAAACATTCACGTATTTGCCAGCAACCAAAAGAGGGAGGCAGATGTTCCCGACGCAAATCTGTTTACTAAGTCCCCGTAACATGATTTAAGCGTTAAGGTGTCGTATAATGTACATTGTAGACACAAATAACAAGCTTCTCACTTAGAACTATCGATAGTTACATAATAATTAATACCTGGAAAATAAAAATAAAATGTATTAGAAAAATATTGTTTTAAGTTCGTTTAATTTTTTGACCGACTTCCCAAAAGGAGGTACTCAACTCGTCTGTATGTTTTTTTTTTATATTTGTCAATGTATTATTATTTCACTACCTTTCCGTCTACATGAAAATTAACAAAAGTAAATAGCACATACGTTCTTTCAGACTATGCTCTACATCTATGCCAAAATTCATCGAGATCCATTCAGCCGTTTGGACAGGAACCTCTAACAAATATTCATTCATTTGAATTTGATATAACATTAGGTACGGTTTTAAATAATAATTAAATTTCTTACTCGTATGTTTATTACCACTGCGGTAATAGTGAATAATAAAGTAAATGTTTCAAACCCTCTTTTTAAATTCTCTTACTGGGGCCGATCGTAAAAATCTTTTACTGCTAAAACCGAAACATCCATTTAAGTCTTCAAATAAACTGAATCGTAAAAACTTGGCAAACGTACTACACTCTTTTCCTTTACATTTCTCGTCAAAACTCCTAAGCAAACTTAGATTTACATGCGTAATCGTGTGTCAACTGAAGACTCCCGGAGCGGGCGGGCACGTGTTAAGTGCTCCGATGTAGACCAATATTTAGCCTTCTTTGAGGGCCCTCGCTTGTACATGTTTTCCTATCGATTTGAGCTCGATCTTCAAACGCATTCTCTACTTTTATTACACTGTATCCTTTGTAAGTTCACGATCAATCTTACTATTATAAATGAGAATGTTTGTTAGAGTTTTTAGCATAAACTACTAAACGGATCTAGATTAAATTTGGCATAGACGTAGAGGCTAGTCTGGAAGAATACATAGGCTACTCACTTTTGTTTTTTTTTCCACGCAGATGGAGTTGCAGGTGAAAGCTAGTATTCATTTTAAAGTACAGGACACATCATACTTTTACTAATATTAGAATTTCTTTAAAAAATCGTAACAGATTTTGGTAAACTTTAGTCTGGAAGGTATATGCTATTTGTTAATTTTTTTTTAATTCCGCGCGCATAAAGACGCGGACAAAAGCATTTTTTTTTAATATAAATATTGTGTTACCAGTGGGTTTTTACTATTGTTATACTCGTTTCACAACAATATTGTCTTTCAAGAACGAAGATAACATTAATGACTTTCTTATACAAGTCTTAAGATCGTAGAACCATAAAACATGGTATATCCAGTTTCTTTATATCACTGTCATCATTAATTCCTCTCAGAGTGACAAAATAATTAAACAATTCCTCGTTATATTTGATGTGTCGGGTCTGCTCCCTCAGGAACATCCTGAACAGCTACGAATCACATAAGGAAATTCACCGGGAAATGTCAAACGAGAAATCCACGCACGGAAATGTCAAACGGAGCCAGAATCATCTAGTCTTTGGAGACAAATTATCTGGTTACAGACATTTATAATATAACTTCTCTAGTTGGTTAAACCAAGAAATAATAAGGGAAA